TTACCTAAGAATTGCAAAGGGAATGGAGTCTTTGCAATATTTGCACCAAAATCGCTCTTTCTTGCGCTCGACTTTTTGAACGCAATTTGGGCAAGAATTGTAAAACCAATCTCTCCAAATATCAACAATGTGGCCACAAATCCAAAAGTTTTTTTGCTGAAAAGATAAACTAAAAACAAATCAATATGAGTTAACCCTTATTTAAAAGATTATTTAAATTAATTAATAAATTGTGATATTATTATGAGTGGGTAATAATTCAAAAATTGTAATAAGTCACATAGATACCTCTTCAGACGCGTAAAAGACCACAACACTTATGATAGGAGCAATTCCAGATTGCCAGTCGTCACATACGTTCGACATGAAAGACCTAACATAAGGGAATGAAGATTCCCTTGGCCTTGTGTGGGAATTGTACCTAGTGAAAGCAAAATTTAATCGGAAGTATATAATTAGTTTTTTATTTATTCAAAATATAGTATCACATAATAACAAATAGGTATTGAAGACTTAGTATATATACCTTTGATTGAAATCAACAATCTCAGGAACATCATTCGAGACTATCAATTTTGTAGCATCATAAAACTTAGAAACTAAAACAGATCCTACAAATATAAATGTTTTGGGACAATATTAAAAATTGTAAGATAAAACTAAATAACAATAGGAGCAAATGATAATATAAATTAAGCCAAATAATATATACCATCATCAAATGACTTTGCATGGCAAAGTTGTATTACGAGTACATGATGACTTTTTGTAGGCAGATAGAATCATATCCGCATATCCTTCCCATAGTGTGCAAGTTTGGTGGCAGCACTTATAAATTGTACAATAAAACAAAAAATTAATTTCTAAAAGATATGTATATTCAAATTAAAATAAAACGAAAGTTGTATGAAATATAACTTACTCAACATCTTCAAGAACAATGTCACTACACCTCTTTTGACCTACATTTGAATTTCTTGTATGTACGTTTTCAATCAAAACAATACGGCCAAACATGTCTACAGATTAAAATAATTAATAAATAATATAACATTAACTGAATTTTTATTATTAAAAGAATAAAAAATTAAAAATACCAGAAGGTGTGGAAGGATCAATATTTTCGGGGTCGGTTAGCTCGCTCAATTGGTTGAGCTCAAACATCAACCCCGGATACTCATCATCAACTATCTCGCGCATGTTAATTTCTTTGTAGAAAATGAACTTGTGACTTGATTTGGTTATCTTGAATGCACTCTTGTCCTCCACAAGTTCGAAATTTGTGATCTCGTAACATTGCCTTTGAGAAGTTTAAATTCTTTGAACTTTTGGGATAAGCATCCGGGTACCAAGCTGTGTATACGTTGGCTCTAAAAAAAGAAATAAATGAAGATTGTCAGAAGCTGGTAGTAGAAATGTTGTTTGTAAAAATTAATTGAATAAAAGAAAAGTAAGGAAAAAAATATATACCTTCACATCAAAAAAAATGAAATCATGTCCGCTGATTTTTGTTGTATTCAACTTATAATATCGAAGGTAGTTTCTGACCAGTCGAAGCCTGGCAGTGTTATTCTTGTTTTTTGCCAAAAAGGTCAAATTGTTGAAAATGGATGCCATTGCTGTGGAGAAAAACGTAGGAGGAAGGTTTTTTTGTTTGCTGAATAATTGCAATGAGGTTATGTGCATGAATGTTGGACATATATACATGGTCTTAGTATGGTCAAAATCACATTGACACATTGAATATCTAATATTTACAAATTTTAATGTGCAAAAATCAAGGGATAATGACATTCCTCTATTTCCTATATTTTTTGTAATCTATCAAATATTATCTGATTGACTTTTATTTATTTTTTCCCGCATCCCCCTCTTTCTCATTCTTTTTGGAATTTGTAACTTATATTTAACAGTTAATATGTATAAATCATTTGCTAAAATCGGGGAATAATAACATTCCTCTATTTTTTTTTTATCTAACAAGCATTATCTGATTTTGAACCCGCTGCTTCTTTTTCATTGCTTTTAGTACTTTGTAACTGACAATATAACAATAAAATATGAATAAATCATGTGCTAAAATCATGGAATAATAACAATCCTTTATTATTTTAATATATCAAATATTCTGATTTTGATTTAATTTTGTTTTTCCCGCCTTACTGAAATTTGACAGTTTAAGATTTATTTAATTCCTCAAAATGTTGTTTTCTTGGAAAACAAAAGCCAATTCGTAATTAACTGTTATGATGAATGAATATAACAAATATGATATAATAATGAAATATTGAAATTCTTTGCTATTTTTTTTTTGTATAGATTATGTTAATTTTAAATTCTTTTTAAATCATGGGATAATTAAATTGTTTACTGATTTTTATATTTTTTATTTTTTTTGAAGGTCTAATTGAAAGCTTAAGGGTGGTCAATTAATTTATTATTTGTAATTAGTTTTTTATTATTTTTTGCAGGTCTAATACAAAGCTTAAGGGTGGTCAATTAATTTATTATTTGCAATTATGTGCATATGTGTTGTATTTATTCAATTTTCATGGTATGACTGAATATTTATTCATTTATAGAGCAAAATAAAATAGAATACGAAAATAACTAATTATTATTTTATTGTCTAAATATTTTATATAAACAAGTTTTTGCCTAATTAAAGTTTAATTGTTAATTGGAAAAATATTTCATATTTGAATGAGATTATAACTGCCTGATCACATTTAATAATCAGCATAATCCATGCAATAAAGTCTATGTTTATAAATAAAAAAACTATATATATGCCTTGTAACGTTTTTAGGCTGGAATATAAAATAGGTTTATTTAAATGTTTTATTAAATGAATTAGCTAGTTATTATATATATGTCATTTGTGTGAAAAGTCGACATTTGTGGTTTTTTAGTTGCCATTTGGCCTTTATTTTTAATTTTTTTTTCTGGTTTTATCGATTAGTTGACATTTTGTTAAAAGTAGTTTAGTAGTTACTCTTTTTTTCTTAATTTTATTATTGAAGTACAAGATAGAAGTAATAAAAATAAAAAATAATTAAACACATATTAATAAGAATATTTTTATTCATAGAACAAATATTATTTTCCAAGTAGATTACTGAAAATATTAATAAAACAACATAAAATGAAAACATTGAAACTAATATCCCAGAAACAGCTTCCAAGTAAATATAATCTTGATCCAGCCCCTTAGATTTTCTCAATTTTGATTTTTTTGTCCTTTGGCTCCCCTCGGAACTGCTCGAGCCATCTTCAAATAATTTCTTGTGAACCCACTTTCCTGTATTTCTTTGCAGCCCGATACAGTGTCCTCACCCTTTGATTCCTACATATTAAAAAATATATATTTTTTTATGAAAATAATATATTTTTCTGCTGAAAATAAAAAAATATAAAAATATAATTTTTACTTGACCAGCTTCATAATATTCTTTGATCAATGAGGAGAGTTTGTCAAAAGCTCAAGGTCAAGTGGTAGATCTGATCCATCAATTTCCTGCATGATAAATTTTCAGTTAAATTATAATTTTGATAATATAAGAATAAAACATTTGGGCAATACTCAATATCAAAAATAAACACGCCTCTATCATTTCACTAACCACATCATCACATGGTTTTCCAACTAACTCTCAAGCAACTTTGTCCCAGCACAAAAGGCGAACCATTCCGGTGTTGTCTACCTATCTATAAAAAAATTAACAAAAACATATTAAAAATTTTTATGATTAATTTTACAATTATAAAAGATAATTACCTAAGAATTGTAAAGGGAATGGAGTCTTTGTAATAGTTGCACCAAAATCTCTCTTCATTGCGCTCGACTTTTCGAACGCAATTTGGGCATGAATTGAAAAACCAATCTCTCCAAATATTAAAAATGTGGCCACAAATCCAAAAATTCTTTTGCTGAAAAGATAAATTAAAAAGAAATCAATATGTGACAACCCTTATTTAAAATATTGTTTAAATTAATTAATAAATTGCTGATATTATTATGAGTGAGTAATAATTCAAAAATTGTAATAACTCAAATTGATACCTCTTCAGACGCGTAAAAGTCCGCAACACTTATGATAGGAGCAATTCCGGATTGCAAGTCGTCACATACTTTGGACATTATAGACCTAAAATAAGGGAATGAAGATTTCCTTGGCCTTGTGTGGGAATTGTACCTAGTGAAAGTAAAATTTAATCGGAAGTATATAATTAGTTTTTTATTTGATCAAATATAGTATCAATTAATAACAAATAGGTATTGAAGACTTAGGATATATATACCTTTGATTGAAATCAACAATCTCAGGAACATCATTCGAGACTATCAATTTTGTAGCATCATAAATGTTGGAAACTAAAATAGATCCTACAAAAATAAATGTTTTGGGACAATATTAAAAATTGTATGATAAATCTAAAATAACAATAGGAGCAAATGATAATATAATTTAAGCCAAATAATATATACCATCATCAAAATGACTTTGCATGGCAAAGTTGTATTATGAGCACACGCAATTCAGTTGGAGATGACTTTTTGTAGGCAAGTAGAAGCATATCCGCATATCCTTCCAATAGTGTGCAAGTTTGGCGGCAGCCCCTATAAATTGTACAATAAAACAAAAAATTAATTTCAAAAAGATATGTATTGTTCTGAGGTCGAGTTGGTGTCTGCCCGTTCATCTCGGTGTTGCCTCTGTGGAAGGGCTTGTGTGTCTTTTATGTTTTTGTGCTTTTTGTTGTCTGTGTTTGTGTTGTTTAGGCTTGTGTTTTTTCTGTTTTGTGTTTGTCTGTGTTGGTGTTCGTATTAGTGTTTTAGGTTTGGGCCATTTTGGTCTCGGTTACCCCGAGTGTGACTTTATTATCCCGTTGGGACCGTACACTCGGGCATTACCCTGTTGGGGCCGATTTTAGTGTTTTTTTGTGTTTTTTGTGTGTCCCGTGTATTACCCTGTTGGGGTTTCTGTTGGGGTCGGGCTCTAGGCGGTCTTTTGACCTGTCCTCCCTTTTTTTGCAGTTGTTGGGTGGTTGTATTCAGCTGCTGGCTGTTTGTATCCAGCTGAGGGCTGCTCTTTTGCACAGTTGAGCGTTTTTATATAAAATCCCTATCGTTCCGAAAAAAAAAAAAAAAGNCTCAAATTAAATAAAACGAAAGTTGTATGAAATATAACTTACTCAACATTGTCAAGAACAATGTCAATACACCTCTTTTGACCTCCATTTGAATTTCTTGTATGTACGTTTTGAAACAAAACAATACGGCCAATCATATCTACAAATTAAAAAAAAAAATAATAAATACTATAACATTACCCGAATTTGTATACCAAATGGTGTGGAAGGATCAATTGTTTCGGGGTCGGTTAGCTCGCTGAATTGCTTGAACTCAAACATCAACCTGGGATACTCGTCATCAACTATCTCGCGCATGTTAGTTTCTTTGTAGAAAATGAACTTGTGACTTAATTTGGTTACCTTGAATGCACTTTTGTCCTCCACAAGTTCAAAATTTGTGATCTCGTACACATTGCCTTTGAGAAGTTTAAATTCTTTGAACTTTTGGGATAAGCATCCGGGTGCCCAGCCGTGTATACGCTGGCCCTAAAAAAAGAAATAAATGAAGATTGTCAAAAGCTGGTAGTAGAAATGTTGTTTGTAAAAATTGATTGAATAATAGAAAAGTAAGTAAAAAAATTATATACCTTCACATCATACAAAATTAAATCATGTCCGCTGATTTTTGTTGTATTCGACTTATAATATCAAGGGTAGTTTCTGATCAGTCGAAGCCTAGCAGCCTTATTCTTGTATTTGGCCAAAAAGGTCAAATTGTTGAAAATGGATGTCATTGATGTAGAGAAAAACGTAGGAGGAAGGTTTTTTTGTTTGCTGATAATTGCAATGAGGTTATGGGCATAAATGTTGGACATATATATATGGTCTTAGTATGGTCAAAATCACATTGGCACATTTAATATATAATATTTATAAATCATAATATGTGCAAAAATCAAGGGATAATGACATTCCAATTTCCTATATTTTTTGTAATTTAACAAACATTATCTGATTGACTTTTATTTATTTTTCCCGCATCCCCCTCTTTTTCATTCCTTTTGGAATTTGTAACTGATATTTAACAGTTAATATGTATAAATAATGTGCTAAAATCGGGGAATAATAACATTCCTCTATTTTTTTTATCTATCAAACATTATCTAATTTTGAATTTTATTTAGTTTACCCGCCGCTTCTTTTTCATTGTTTTTGGTACTTTGTAACTGATAATTAACAATAAAGTATGAATAAATCATGTGCTAAAATCATGGAATAATAACAGTCTTCTATTATTTTAGTATATCAAATATTCTGATTTTGATTTAATTTTGTTTTTCCCGACTTACTGAAATTTAACAGTTTAAGATTTATTTAAATCCTCAAAATGTTGTTTTCTTGGAAAACAAAAGCCAATTCGTAATTAACTTTTATGACTGATTGAATAACAAAATATGATAAAATCAAGGGATATTAAAATTCTTAGCTATTTTTTTTGGTATAGATTACCTTAATTTTATATTCTTATTAAATTTGTGATAATGAAATTGTTTACTGATTTTTATTTTTTTATATTAGTTGCAGGTCTAATGGAAAACTTAAGGGTGGTCAATTAATTTATTATTTGTAATTATTTGTATATGTGTTGTATTTATTCAATTTTCTTGGCATGAATGAATTTTATGGAGCAAAATAAAAAAGAATAATAAAATAACTAATTACTATTTTATTGTCTAACTATTTTATATACTCAAGTTTCTGCCTAATAAAAGTTTAATTGTTAATTGGAAAAATATTTCATATTTGGATGAGATTATAACTGCCTGATCACATTTAATAAACAGCAGAATCCATGCAATAAAGTCTGTGTTTATAAAAAAAAAAAATCTATATGTATATGCCCTGTAACGTTTTTGGGTGGGAATGTGAAATAGGTTTTATTAAATATTTTATTAAATGGATTAGCTAGTAATTATATATATATATATATATGTCATTTGTATGAAAAGTCGGCATTTGTGGTTTTTTAGTTTTCATTTGGCCTTTATTTATTTATTTTTTTTTTTTTATCGATTATTTGACATTTTGTTAAAAGAAGTTTATTAGTTACTTTTTTTTCTTAATTTTATTATTGAAGTAAAAGATAGAAGTAATAAAAAGAAAAAATAATTAAACACATTTTAATAAAAACATTTTTATTCATAGAACAAATATTATTTTCCAAGTAGATTACTGAAAATATTATTAAAACAACATAAAATGAAAACATTGAAACTAATATCCTAGAAACAGCTTCCTAATGAATATAATCTTGATCTAGCCCCTTAGATTTTTCTCAACTTTGATTTTATATAACTTCTTTTGAACCCTCTTTCCTGTTATTTCTCTGTAGTCTAGTATAGTGTCCTCACCCTTTGATTCCTACATATTAAAAAATATATAATTTTGTATGAAAATAATATATTTTGCTGCTGAAAATAAAAAATATAAAAATATAATCTTTACTTGACCAGCTTCATAATATTCGTTGATCAATATGGAGTGTTGGTCAGAATCCTATTGAGAAAGAGAATCATTACAATATATTAATTATTATATTATTATAAAAATAGTAATTCCATAATACTTTGTAGGACATTTTTTTTTTTTTAAATAAATTCAGGCCAACCTAGGAGATGTTGGCCAAAGAACCAAATCGGCTGACCAAAATATGATAGGCTGTTATTCGAGAAACAGTAAAAGAACTAATGTATGATCCAAATTGATCCTTTTTCTTTGAAACCTTGAACAATAGCATTTTGTTTGTCAAAAGCTCAAGGTCAAGTGGTAGATCTGATCCATCATTTTCTTGCATGATAAATTTTGAATTAAATTATAATGTTGATAATATAAGAATAAAACATTTGGGCAATACTCAATATAAAAAATACACATGCCTCTATCATTTCACTAACCACAACATCACATGGTTTTCCAACTAACTCTCGAGCAACTTTGTCCCGACACAAAAGGCGAACCATTCCGGCGTTGTCCCCAACTGAAATATGCAGCTTGTACCTATCTATACAAAAATTGATAAAAACATATTAAAAATTTTTATGAATAATTTTAAAATAATAAAAGATAAATACCTAAGAATTGCAAAGGGAATGGAGTCTTTGCAATAGTTGCACCAAAATCTCTCTTTCTTGCGCTCGACTTTTTGAACGCTATTTGGGCAAGAATTGAAAAACCAATCTCTCCAAATATTAACAATGGGATCACAAATCCAAATTTATTTTTGCTGAAAAGATAAATTAAAAACAAATCAATATGTGTTAACCCTTATTTAAAAGATTATTTACAATAATTAATAAATTGTGATATTATTATGAGTGGGTAATAATTCAAATATTGTAATAAGTCACGTTGATACCTCTTCAGACGCGTAAAAGTTCGCAACACTTATGATAGGAGCAATTCCGGATTTCCAGTCGTCATATACATTAGACATGAAAGACCTAACATAAGGGAATTAAGATTCCCTTGGCCTTGTGTGGGAATTGTACCTAGTGAAAGCAAAATTTAATCAGAAGTATATAATTAGGTTTTCATTTGATCAAATATAGTATCACATAATAACAAATAGGTATTGAAGACTTAGGTTATATACCTTTGATTGAAATCAACAATATCAGGAACATCATTCGGGACTATCAATTTTGTAGCATCATAAATCTTAGAAACTAAAACAGATCCTACAAAAATAAATGTTTTGGGACAATATTAAAAATTGTAAGATAAAGCTAACATAACAATAGGAGCAAATGATAATATAAATTAAGCCAAGTAATATATACCATCATCAAATGACTTTGCATGAGAAAGTTGTATTACGAGTACATGCAATTCAGTTGAATGCACTTTTGTCCTCCACAAGTTCAAAATTTGTGATCTCGTGATATTGCCTTCCAGAAGTTTAAATTCTTTGAACTTTTGGGATAAGCATCCGGATGCCAAGCTGTGTATACGTTGGCTAAAAAATTTAATAAATGAAGATTGTCAAAAGCTGGTAGTAGAAATGCTGTTTGTAAAAATTAATTGAATAAAAGAAAAGTAAGTAAAAAATATATACCTTCACATCATAAAAAAAGAAATCATGTCCGCTGATTTGTAGTTATTTGTATATGTGCTGTATTTATTCAATTTTTATGGTATGACTGAATATTTATTCATTTATGGAGCAAAATAAAAGAGAATAAGAAAATAACTAATTATTATTTTATTGTCTAAATATTTTGTATAATGAAGTTTCTGCCTAATAAAAGTTTAATTGTTAATTGCAAAAATATTTCATATTTGGATGAGATTATTACTACCTGATCACATTTAATAATCAGCATAATCCATGCAATAAAGTCTGCGATTATAAGATATGCCCTGTAACGGTTTTGGGCGGGAATGTGAAATAAGTTTTATTAAATGGAATAGCTAGTAATTATATATATGTTATTTGTGTGAAAAGTCGACATTTGTGGTTTTTTAGTTGCCATTTGGCCTTTATTTTTAATTTTTTTCTAGTTTTTATCGATTCGTTTACATTTTGTTAAAAGGAGTTTAGTAGTTACTCTTTTTTTCTTAATTTTATTATTGAAGTACAAGATAAAAGTAATAAAATAATTAAACACATTCTAATAAAAACATTTTTATTCATAGAACAAATATTATTTTCTAAGTAGATTACTTAAAATATTAATAAAACAACATAAAATGAAAACATTGAAACTAATATCCCAGAAACAGCTTCCAAGTAAATATAATCTTGATCCAGACCCTTAGATTTTCTCAACTTTGATTTTTTTGTCCTTTCGCTCCCCCCGGAACTGCTCGAGCCATCTTCAAATAATTTCTTGTGAACCCTCTTTCTTGTTATTTCTTTGCAGCTCGATACAGTGTCCTCGCCCTTTGATTCCTACATATTAAAAAATATACATTTTTTTATGAAAATAATATATTTTGCTACTGAAAATAAAAAATATAAAAATATAATCTTTACTTGACCAGCTTCATAATATTCTTTGATCAATGGGGAGAGTTGGTCAGAATGCTATTGAGAAAGAGAATCATTAAAAAATATTAGTTATTATATTAGTATAAAAATAGTACTACTATTATACTCTGTAGGACGTTTTTTTAATAAATCCAAGCCAACCTGGGAGATGTTGACCAAAAAACCAGACGACTGACCAAAATATGATCGGCTGTTATTCGAGAAATAGTAGAAGGACCAATGTATGATCCAAATTGATCCTTTTTCTTTGAAACCTTGAACAATAGCATTTTGTTTTTCAAAAGCTCAAGGTCAAGTGGTAGATCTGATCCATCATTTTCCTGCATGATAAATTTTGAGTTAAATTATAATTTTGATAATATAAGAATAAAACATTTAGGTAATAACTCAAATTGATACCTCTTCAGACGCATAAAAGTCCGCAACACGTATGATAGGAGCAATTCCGGATTGCAAGTCGTCACATACGTTAGACATGATAGACCTAAAATAAGGGAATGAAGATTTCCTTGGCCTTGTGTGGGAATTGTACCTAGTGAAAGTAAAATTTAATCGGAAGCATATAATTAGCTTTTTATTTGATCAAATATAGTATCACATAATAACAAATAGGCATTGAAGACTTAGGATATACATACCTTTGATTGAAATCAACAATGTCAGGAACATCACTCGAGACTATCAATTTTGTAACATCATAAATGTTGGAAACTAAAATAGATCCTACAATAATAAATGTTTTGGGACAAAATTAAAAATTGTAAGATAAATCTAAAATAACAATAGGAGCAAATGATAATATAAATTAAGCCAAATAATATATACAATCATCAAAATGACTTTGCATGGCAAAGTTGTATTATGAGCACACGCAATTCAGTTGGAGATGACTTTTTGTAGGCAGGTAGAAGCATATCCACATATCCTTCCCATAGTGTGCAAGTTTGATGGCAGCCCCTATAAATTGTACAATAAAAAAAAAAATTAATTTCAAAAAGATATGTATACTCAAATTAAATCAAACGAAAGTTGTATGAAATATAACTTACTCAACATCGTCAAGAACAATGTTAATACACCTCTTTTGACCTCCATTTTAATTTCTTGTATGTACGTTTTGAAACAAAACAATACGGCCAATCATGTCTACAAATTAAAAAAAAATTAATAAATACTATAAGATTACCCGAATTTGTATTTTTTAAAAAATAAAAAATTGAAAATACCAAAAGGTGTGGAAGGATCAATTGTTTCGGGGTCGGTTAGCTCGCTGAATTGCTTGAACTCAAACATCAACCTCGGATACTCGTCATCAACTATCTCGTGCATATTATCTTGAATGCACTTTTGTCCTCCACAAGTTCGAAATTTGTGATCTCGTACACATTGCCTTTGAGAAGTTCAAATTCTTTGAACATTTGGGATAAGCATCCGGGTGCCTAGCCGTGTATACGCTGGCGCTAAAAAAAAAGAAATAAATGAAGATTGTCAATAGCTGGTAGTAGAAATGTTGTTCGTAAAAATTGATTGAATAATAGAAAAGTAAGTAAAAAAATTATTTACCTTCACATCATAAAAAATGAAATCATGTCCGCTGATTTTTGTTGCATTTGACTTATAATATCAAGGGTAGTTTCTGACTAGTCGAAGCCTAGCAGTCTTTGTAACGCCCCAAAACAGTAATAATATTCAGAACGGTGTCACTGCTCGACTATAAGTGAAATCCGTAATTTTCAGAAATTCCCGAGTTATATTTATTGTGCTAAATGCTCAATTATGATAAATTATTCTTGGAATAATTCTATCTCAAGTATAAGTCAAGATTAATCCATTAATTTAGGTTGGTAAATAATAGCAAGTCAATTCGAGAATTGATCGACTCCGAACACTAGTTTGGTTTCGAGTTAATTTTCGGGTAAATCCCGAGCATAGCCAAGTATTGGTATTTTTCTACTTAGAATATTTTTCTAAGGGTATAAAAATATCAAAGTATAAGTATTGATCATTTTAATCGAGCCCTAGTCGAGTCTCGTGCCCGAGCCCCGAGCTCGCGCCTTAGCCGTGCCCGAGCATCCAACCGAGCCCCAAGGCATTGCCTAAAGCCTTAGTAGCATTCTGGGAAATAATTCTAAGTGTTGGGATACCAAGAAAAGGCCTTAGTTGCAGTCCAAGGGCCATCACACTCAGCCAAGGCCAAATTCCCCGTGCAGCCCAACTCCCCGCGCAGCCCAGCCGCGCCCTCGCGCCCAGCCTGCGCAGGCTCAGTGCCGCGCCCAGCAGGCCCAGCGGCAGCACTGCCAACCCAACATTTTCAGCCCAAAAATCTTATATCCGGCCCAAATCCTCCATGACCCAATGCATGCGTTTAATTAGGACCTAATGAGGGTCTAATTAAGCTTAAGTTGCCCTAACAAAAGATTAGCCAAAGACATCTAGCATGGACAATATTTTATTAGTAGTGCATGAGGAATCTTTCATTTTTTTAATCACTTGTGCAGCCCTTGTCCCCCCACCCCCGTGCCAGACCTGACCTGACCTCTCTAAAATGATTTTTATACTCTAAAATAAGCTCAAAGACCGTGCAAAGTCCGGCCTTAAGCATGCCCAAGGTCTTGGACCTAAATTCCATGCCATGAGATGGAATTCCCACTTCATTTGTCCCCCACCAAGTCACCTAGCTATCTCCGCCCAAACCAGTACTTAAGGACCCTTCCTCAGTCCCTTTAAAGACCTTTGATCACTTGAATCCCGAGCATATAGTGAGGAGTAGAGAGAAAAACCGAATCTAAGGCAACCAGCCCCTTTGCTCGCGCCCAGCACCCCGGGGAAGAGGAGCAGCGAGGTCCAGCCCCATGCAGCCATAATCTCTCGAGGCTTAGCACTATATAAGTGTACCTTATATTTTTCTAAGTCTTTTAGAAGAGATAGGCTCGAACAAATCACACTCCAAGTTGGCCTAAGCCCCAAAAGCCGAACTTAAGCCTAGTTTGAGCCCTAACTCGAGTTCTTCATTTCCAGCCAAGGTTAGCTCGTGACTTATGAGTTCCTTAATTATTTTATGATATTTTAAGATTTTTCATGAGTTAAAACCGAGCCATGCATGCATTATTATGTGATTTCTGAATTTAATGAAATTAATACCTTGAAAATAAAATTTGAGTAGGAAGCATGCCTAAGTCGAGATTTCTTGTTTAAACACCCTCAAATATCATACCATTGATGCTGTAAAAATTTGAGAATTAAATGAGTTCATTGCCTTAGTCAAATCATGCTTAAATTTATGTTAAAATGAGCCACCGAGGTCAATCATCATGCATGCAAGATATGATATGAGTTCTAGCCCCTATAGCAATGATTTATCATGTTAAACATTCGGCCCTGAGTAGTTTTTCAATTTTCAAATGTTGGTTCGGGAGTTAACCTACTCGGTCATGCCATTTAAGCCTTACCGGGTAGCATGCATTTGGACCCGGGGTCCACTAGTGTTTTATGTGTTAATTGTGCTTATTTTATCATATTATGTTGTATGGTCATGCATGTTGCCGGAAATAGTCGCCGGAGGTCCGGCAAGGGCCGGCCTTGGTCACTGGCCACGCACATAGTGCGGCAGTGCCCGGCCCCAGTGCCAGTGCGTACCAGCGCCAGCGTGCGCGTGGTACCCGAGTCCGCGACAGCGTGCCAGTAGCGCCTGTCCGCGTCGAACCCGGGGTCACGGCGCCCGGCCGCGCTGTCCCAGCCTCAGTGCACGCATGGCCTCGCGTGCCATGCGGAGTCAACCTCGAGTCATGCCAGTTGCACACCCGAGGGGTCAGTACCGTGTCCAGCGACCTCGGGTCGTTCCAGCCGCACACTCGGGTGTCCAGTGTCATGCCCAGTGACCTCGGGTCGTGCCCAGTCATGCACCCGTGTGTCCAGAGCAGTGTTCAGTGGCCTCGGGTCGTGCCAGTGCCACGCCCGAGCACGCAGTTGGCCCGGGATGTGCCCAGCAGCACACCCGCGTGCCCAGGGTTGCCCGGCAGCACCCGCTCAGCCCCAGTTCGCGCATGTCCGCGCCTAGTCGACCTCGGGGCATGGCCAGCAGCCTGCCCGAGTGCTCAGCAACCCCGGGGACGACCGGCAGCGCCCGCGTGGCCTCTGTCCGTGTCCGTCCCGAGTCCAGCCGCACCTGTCCGTGCCCAGCCGCACGACAGGGCTTCAGCCAAGCCTCGGCCGTGCCCAGCGCGCACCCGAGGGGCACCAGTCGTGCCCGGGCCGTGCCAGCAGCCCCTGGCCGTGCCCACCAGCGCCAGTCCGCGCCAAGACATGTCCAGCGGCCCCAGGGACCGAGCCCGGTCGCACCAGCCGTGCCCAGCGCCGTGCCCGGGCACCAGCTGGCCCGGCACGGGACCGAGCCCGGTCTAGCCGAACCCAGCCCGACTGCCCGGCCCAGTTGAGTCGGCGGTCCGACCAGCCAGCGAACCAGCCGGTTCGACAGGCGGTTCGAGTAGTTTTGATTCGTGATTTCTGATCCGAGTCCAGTTCTGGAAATTTCAGTATTTTTCTGAGCCAGTCCAGTCCAGTTTAATCGCGTAGATAAGTCCGAGCATTTTAGCATATAATTAAATATTCTAAGCATTATACTTAGCATGATTTTGCTTAAATATTTATGTAGCCTAAGGAGAGTCGAGCCTCCGTCCGCTACTCCAGCATCCGCACTTGCGTTCAGATTTTCAAGTATTCAGGTGGGGGTCATGTACTGGATGTCACATCATAGATAATATCTGTACCATGGCAGAGGTATGTTTGAGACAGTTTAGTTCCGGGTTTGGTGGTCGAGGCCTTTATACCCACCTGATGACCATTGGGAGGGGCGAGGCCCTTTATACCCCATCGGCGTGTGCACACGAGCGGCTAAGGCCGAGGGTCTTTTGACCACAGATCAGAACAGACATCAGAGATCAGTTTAAATTTTTAGCTCTTATATATTTATGTTTCATGATACGTTATTATAGATGATGTTTTGTTCAGTACTGGTCTTTGCGGAGCATAGTGGTTTGCTCACGCCCCCATTGTGTTTTTCAGGAGACGGAGTCGAGCGTGTCGGATGAGCACAGATGTGGCGCAACGTGGTCATGAGAGTCGTACATATTTTACCAGCATTTTTTTGTCCTAGATTTATGATCATGTGTATTTTATTCAGTTTATGTACGCATGTTATGTATTCGTATTTCGGATGCTTCCGCCGGCGAGTTTTCTAGACAGTGCGAGACAGTACAGACTACGCATGTATAATTCCATAATTCGCGAGCGGATAATTTGGTTGCATGTTTTTATTATGTTTTTGGGCAAGCCCAAGTTCAGTTTAAGTTTTTATCTGCCACATCCCACAATAAGTCAGTATTTTCGAAAACCCAGCTGGCACGTTCTTTCGAAAATAAAAACAAAAATTTTACTCTGATTTTTCAAAGTTAGTAGTAAGGCGGGGTGTGACAGAAGGTGGTATCAGAGCGCAGAGTGCGTTTCTGTATACTTTCAAAGTTTAGAAAAGCATGACCACGCCACGCTCATCCGCGCCGACTCTGAGGTAAGTCACCTGACTCAGTTTAAGTTTTGCAAGTGCTAAATTCAGTTCAAGTATGGGGCGTAGATAACTATCCTCCTATAAGAAAAGAAATAACTCTAGATGGAGAACTCTAGAAAGCTAAGCTAAGACAAGAACTCTAGACAGAACTCTAGAACAGCTAAGTCCAAGGACTCTAGACTAAGTCATAACTCTAGTATGAGCCAGAACATAGCAGTTTAAGTATACCGGAACTCTAGCCAAGCTAGGTGTTTTCGGATATTATTTCTTTATTATTCCAAGAGTAGTATGGCTATTTCTTAATCGGCTATACTAATCAATTCAAGCGTTTCCAGAATTCAGAATGGCACTGCGTAGAGATCCCCAGGCACCAGTTGAGCAGGACTAGGCTGTTGTGGTCAGCCGATTCCGTACCTATGATCTGCCCCGTTTCACTGGGGAGAGTGGCCCGTTAGCCGTGGTCGAGTGGATCCGGAAGATGGAGAGGATCTTCCGTATTATGGGGATTTCTGAGGCGCACAAGATGGCGTGCGCTGAACTGCAGATAGAGGGAGCCGTCGGAGATTGGTGGGAGGATTACTGGCGTTTACGCACCGAGGATGAGCGTGACGCTATGAGATGGGCTCAGTTTAAGACGATACTAGAGGACAAGTTCTATCCTCGCCATTTCAAGCAGAGGATGGCACGGGAGTTTGCCGCTCTCCAGCAGGGTGAGCGTTCAGTGGACGAGTACGAGCGCGAGTTCGCTCGTAAGAGTGCCTTTGCTTCG